GAGGGGGCAGTGGCCCCCTCCCTGGCCTCCAGCTCGTCCCTTCGCCCAGGGAGCCACCGCCACCTCTCCAACTCCAATGTAAACATCCAACTGCCAGAAGGCAGGAGAAGGCGGGAAAGGGTTAGTTTCCAGTGCACCAGAAACTAACCTTTCCCTGCCTTCTCCCAACTTCCAGGTCCATCTTGTTCATATTGGCGAAAGTTTGCAATTTGAAAGTTTGTTAGTAGGGGACAGTCCATATTTCCAAGAAAGCAGTACCCAAATAATCCTATAATTTATTGGAAAACACAGTAATCAAACTGTCCCACCTTGTGAGATACAAAAAGGAACAAGACAGGGATGCCCACTGTCTCCTCTCGTTTATTTTAGTCCTTGAAATGTTGAATAGAGATATAAGACAAGATGAGAGGATTATGGGAGTAAAGATTAAAAAAGAAACTTATAGGTTAAGGGCTCTTGCAGATGATTTGATGTTGGTTTTGGAAGTTCCTTTAAAGGGAACTGAAACATTAATGGGGACACTTCCTGTGGGAGCCATGTAGAGTTGACATCCTGTCTATGGCAGGATAGTGTTTGTGAGCATAGTTGCAGCTGGATGCTGGATCCGGACTGGTGAAATCTCTCTGGAGAAGGAGATATCGTTGAGATTACCCACGTGACTCCTTACAGCTGCAACTCATGAATAGACATGGAAACTGCCGTTTTGCAGTTGGCTTATGAGTGGAGTGGCTGGGAGTCAGGATTTCATCAAGCTCACGCTCACAAAGCAGCTTTTTGTAGACATTAAGCTCGACCAAGCCTCATTTCTTAATCTTATTTTTTTATTATTATTATTTCTTTTTGTTTACTGGATAGATTTAGACTCTTCAGATTGGCAAGGTTTTACTGTATTCATCGTGTGAGTCTCCTCCTCCTTAGAGAACAATGGTGTAAACATGATTTTAAAAGCTTTTAAAATATATAGCTTTTTTGGACTATGCAGCAAAAGGGTGCTTAGTGTATGGATTTTGGAAAGTTAACAATGGATTAAGGGGCCAGAGGGATTTGTAATTATAGCTTTCAATTAATTAAAAGATAATTTCTCATGGGAAAATGGCAATTGCTTTGGCTCTTTAAGATAAGGAGACCTTGACGGCTAGACACTAGAGGGAGCTAGAGAATAAACAATATGGAGCACATAAAGAAATTGAAGCAGAAATCTATACTGCATCTTTTTGAATACTTTTCTACTAAACTTCTTAGAATGGATCAACTGATTGACAGGTTGGACAGACTGTGTTGTAATGAAGATATAGAACAAGAACAAATTTCAGTAGATGTTTATGAAACTGACTTGAAGGGGGACTTAAATGTAATACAAATGGATCTGATGGACAACTGATTCCCTAAAGGAGATGTAGAGATTAAGCCAGGAAATGGATTTGGATATTTTTTTAAAATTAGATATTCAAAAGAGCTCTGTTAAGGACTTTATTAGAAGCGACAAAAGGATAAACTCTACTTATTGGAAGTAGAGTCTATCCTTTTGTTCAGAAAGATTTTTGCCTTGAAACACAGATGATCAGCAAATTACCTCTGGAACTCCTTTTGAAAGGGTTAAAGATATTTTTAAAAACTTAGGGAAGGAATACAAGGTTGGCTTGTTTGATCAGGGCTAAAAGAAGAAGATAGTACAGTGGTACCTCTACTTACGAACTCGCCTCTACTTACGAACT